TTCCCCACATTTTGTCTTTATATTTGTTTTTTAGTATTAGTTTTTCATTTATTTTTCCTCCCCTTAGTACTAGTATTAGTAAAAAATTTTTTTTTTCTTTCCACTTCTTTACGAGAAGATATCATTAGTTTGGTGATATCCTATTGTAGGGCAGTGGTCTGACAGTGTCTTCTGAGATTGATAGAGTTTTAAGTTTGAAGCTTATCATGATGTATTCATATAGATATTTCTGCTCAGTGTGGCTGATTACTTGTAAGTGCTCTTGAAGTAACTGTAGGGTATTGGATTCAAATTATTAGACAGGTTTAGTTTTCTTTTTGTTTTACTCGACAATTAGGTACTTAATAAAGGATACTGGCAAGAAGGCCAAAGTGGAAAAAAAACAAAAAAACTAACTTTATATAGGATTCTGGGTATATAAAAAAACAGTTTTAGAAGAGCCTGCTAAAGGTGGTACATACGTATAATATGCTAATCAATAGATTGTTCAAAAAATAATCACATGCTTTACAATTATATTTTAAATCATTTAATAATTACTCTTGAAGTTTTATTCATCAAAGTTTGCATAATAGTAATGGTTTACAAAATAGTAAAACATATTTATTACAGACTTTGGGTCTTTCAATTTACTTCAGAAACAAAAAGAAGACGAATTTATAAGTTATACCATATATTCTTCAGAAGTTTTACAAGAAAAACCATTTATACATGCAGCAGATATTTATAGTTTTGGAGTTATTATGGTTATGGCTAAATAATAAATAGACAAAACTTTCAATAACAGCTTTTGTTATTAGTTTTGCACTAAAGATCTGCTACAGGTTATGATCCAAGTTTGCTCTAGAATACCAGAATATTATGTCAAATTAGCTAATCAATATCCCAATAAAAGAAAAACAAAATTAATTCATTTTTTGGTAATTCAGATTTAATTTAGTTAAAGAAAATGAGACAATATTCTTGAATCGGAAGGAAAAAAGTATTCTATAAAAATACTATATCGATTTTTTGATCTAAGTTATAGTTTTAGATTAGAAGAAGAAAAATATTAGTAGATACACTTTGTAAAAACACCATACTAACTTTTTTTGACAATATTTATTTTATAAGTTATTATGTTGACTTTGGAAGATCGAATTAAAAAGTTTTAGCAAATGTATTTTGTAAAAATACAATACTAACTTCTTTGATTCTCGGTTGTATCATATAAGAAAATGTACTATACAAAAGCAATACTTCCAAAAATTAGATTTTTGTGATAATAAACTTAATCAAAGGTAAAAATGTATTTTTTAAGAATATCATATTAACTTTAAAAAACAATTTTAGATTAAACATTGGGAAGCAGTATTTTAGACCTAGGTTTTAATGATGTAATAGAGTCATCTCAATGAAGTCTCAATGGATTTTTTGATATGAAAAGTTACGGTATGGTATAATTTTTTATTAAGCTACAAATAAGTCATATCTCAAAAATTCATTAGGACTTTATTGAGACAATTCTACTGCATCACTACTAGATTCATTCAAGTTAATTAACCATTAATGCTTATTGCTTTGGTGTTCTTATACTAGAAATTTTAACTAGGCTAAAGCATTTTAACAACAAGCTATTACATTGCAATAAAATTTGAATTGGATCGTGATTTGAATTATTTAAAAACTGTTTTCACATATTACTTTATTTATAATTAAAAACTAGTTATATTTATTTATTTACCATTAACAAATAATAAATAAATAATTTTAATATCACAGTATAAAAAAAAAAAGGATATCAAGAAAGTGAAAATATTAGTAAATAAAATTTGAAAAAACTAAAACAAGAATATTTTATAATATTTTAATAGCATAATCCAATATCAAATTGCTTGAGATAATATCTATATTTTTAGCTGATCTTAATACTATTTGAATGCTTTTTTTATAGTTCCTATATCATTCTGTGAGATTATACTATGTAGAGATATTACTAGCTCATTCAGCTCTATTCATTAATTGGTTTTTATAATAGTTAAATATACAAGCCAAATCAAGTTGATAACATCTCTAATACTGTGTAGTGTAAAATTAATCTTAATCAAAAGAGTTGGGTAATTAGCAATAGGTAGTTAGAGTGTGTAGTTGGCAAATAGGCATGTAGTTAGCAAATAGGTAGGTAGTTAATGAATGGATGGGTAATTAGTAGGCAGGTGGGTAATTAGTAGAAGGTGAGTTATTAGTAGGTGGGTGGGCAGATAATTAGTAGGTAGGGTAGATGGATAGATAATTAACAGACGAGTATATCAGTAAATTTAAAGATGCGAAATTTTTCGAAAAAATTTGCATAATGCAAAATTATTGAAAAATTTCGCAAAATATTTCGAAATATTTCGAAATATTATATTTTCAAAAAATTTCAAAATATTTTTTGAAATATTTCGAAAATATTTTTAAAAATTTGCAAATTATTTTGCACCTTATCTATTTTTGTCATAAACTGTAACCTTTGATCATTGTATATAGAACTTCCGTTTATTATAAAAACAATAAAACAATTGGTATAGCATCTTTAATAAATACTCGCATAATTATGCTCACTCAAAGCTTATTTGTAATACATATACAAATATTTTTCAGTATATGCAAGTTCTTGCATTTTGTTGGTTTTTTTTTTTTAGCAAAATATGATTTACAGTCTCTATTCTAGATCTAGATCTATCAAGTAGATCATATTTCTTGGTTTTTTTTTTTTATTCATTTAACTTCTTTTATTTTTTTTATTTTGTATTTTTAGTCTTCGTTTTCAGGTAAAATTTCGATCTTTTTCTTTTTTTTTCTATTTAGTTTGTTAACTTTTTCTTTTTATTTCTATTTTGTTTGCTAACTTTTTCTTTTCTTTTTAGTTCATGTAGGCTTGCCAGATTGTGGAATCAGAAACTTTGGTGCTTCGTTTTTGGTAAGATTATAGTGCTTTTTTTTGTTTTCTTTTGTTGTTATTTGTTAAAATCTTTATTTTTCTCTTTTAAGGTTCTTATAGGCTTGCTAGAATATGAAATCAAGAGCTTTAGGGCTTTGTTCTCAGGTAAGATTATACTTTGCTTGTTTTTTTTCTTGTTTTTCTTTTGTTGCTACTCGCTAAACTCTTTGTTATTTTCTCTTTAGATCCTTGTAGGCTTGCCAGAATGTGAAATTAGAAAATTTTTTCTCAGGTAGAATGGTGTTTTTCTTTTTTTTATTTTTTTATTTTTTTATTTTTTTTTGTTGTTATTCGCTAACTTCTTCTCTTTTTTAGGCTTGTGTAGGCTTGCTGAAACATTAAATCAGGATTTTGGGGCTTCATTCTCAGGTAAGATTATGTTTTTTTCATTTTTTGTTCTTTTTGTTATTTCTCTTTTGTTTTCATTTGCCAACTTCTTCGTACTTTTCTCTTTAGACTTGCGAAATGTTGATTCAGAACTTTGGGCTTCATTCTCAGGTAAGATTATGTGCTCTTTTTTTCTTTTTGTTTTCTTTTATTTCTATTCTCTAATTTCTTCGCCCTTCTTCACTTCTTTAGCTTCGTGTAGGCCTTTCGGAACATTAAATCAAGATTTGGAGCTTCATTCTCAGTAAAATTATGGTTTTTTTTTATTTTCTTTTTATTGGTTTTTCTTTTGTTATTTGCTAATTTCTTTGCCCTTTTACTCTTCTTTAGCTTCATATAGACCTGTTGGGACATCAGAATATTGAATTAGGATTATGGAGCTTCGTTCTTAGGTAAAATTATTATTATTATTTTTTTTTGTATTGCTTCTCTTTTGTTGTCACTTGCTACTTTTATTGCCCTTTTTCTCTTTCTTAGGTTCGTGTAGTGTATACCAAAATGTTGAATCAGGACTTTGGAGCTTCGTTCTCAGATAAGATTATGTTCTCTCTTTTTTTTCTTTTTGTTATTTCTCTTTTGTTATTTCTGTTATTTTTCTTTTGTTATCATTTACTAATTTCCTTGCCCTTTTTCTCTTCCTTAGATTCATGTAGGCTTGCCAGAATGTTGCATTAGGACTTTGGAATTTCATTCTCTGATAAGATTATATTTTTTTTTTGTTTTTTTTTTTGTTTTGTTTTTCTTTGGTTGTTATTCGCACTTTGTTTTTTTTCTTTTTAGGTTTGTGTAAGCTTCATGGAACATAAAATCAAGATTATGTTTTTTTTTTTTTGTTGTTGTTGTTTTTCGCTTATTATTATTCACTAACTTCTTTTTTTTTTTTCCTTCTGTGGACTTTGAATTAATATCTTTGAATATAGTCCAAAAAAAGCGTAGTGTCAGATATGTCATTTTGATATAATAATTCAAGGATGGACAAGTAAAACAAGAATATCAATGATTGTATAAAGAAATTCTAACTTAGAACTTACAATTGTGAATATATGATTGAGCAGATTCTATGGGTGAATTGCAAGCGATATAAACATGCAACTCTTAAAGGACAATACAGGAATAAACAAACAGAAATAAGGATCAGCATTTGATGAAAATGGAATTGGAGTCGAAAAGGATGAACATATGTATAAAAAGCATTGTTGTGAATTCTAAATAGAATTAGTGTTAAAAGAACGATCATAATCTGTATTGGTGAGATTTTTGGAATTGGAGTTGAAAAGGACGAACATATAACATTAAAAGTCAGCATTGACAGGGAATTCTAGTAGAATAATTGTACTAGAAAACTGTTACAAGGGCAGAATTGAAGTTGAAAAGTATAGTATAGTTTTTATTATGTAATTATTATTTAATAAAAAATTATATAATAAATTAAAATTATGTAAAAAAACAAAAATAATAAAATAAAATAAATATATTGATTAGTCATTATTATATTATTATGTATATTTTTTATATATTTTTTAATTTATTTGAAAGGATTAAATATATAATACTAAAAAATTTTGAAATTTATCAAAAAAATTCGAAATTTATCAAAATATTTTGAAATATTTTGAAATATTTTAAAATTTATTGATATAATTTGAAATGTTTTGAAATAATCTATAATTAGTTTTGTTTAATTGATATTTAATATTTCGAAATATTTTAATAATTTTTCACATATTTTTGAAAGTTTTCGAATATTTTCAAAATTTTTTTTGAAATTTTTCATGATAAATGAAATTTTTTCGAAATTTTTCAATATGCAAATTTTTTTGAAAATTTTTGTTTATTTTTTTTGCTGATATAGATGAAAAAAATCATGAATTGCAATATGTTTTAGCAAAAAATCTCTATATTTACAAACATGATTTTTTACTAAGTAAAATGCATTAAATTTACTTAGTAATTGCAAATCATTTTATCTAGTTGACTCACAGATCATCATTTAAAACAGTTTTCTTAATAAAATTTTGTTTAATTTAAAAAAACAAAGCAAAATACCATCAACTTTATATATAATTTATAAATAGTACCCTCTATTCTTAATAGTAATTATTTCTGAGACAAAAATATATATAATACTAAAAT